TGGAGAAACCCTGTCTCTACCGAAAATGCAAAATTAGCTGGGCATGGCAGCACATGCCTGTAATCCCAGCTACTTGGGAGGCTGAGGCAGGATAATCACTTGAACCCGGGAGGTGGAGGTTGCAGTGAGCCAAGATTGGGCCTCTGCACTCCAGCCTGGGCAACAAGAGTGAAATTCTATCTCAAAAAAAAAAAATGCTTTCAGTATGTATATAAAGCCTTAAAATAATATTTATACTCATTTACCAATTAATAAAGAAACTCATACCGGGAATGCCCAAAATTTCATTTCTAAATATTATTCTCCAATTTAAAAAACAAAACAAACATAGGGACACTTGAAGAAGTGACTGATGCCAGGGTGGGGAAGGGAAAATATAAAGGGTTTTGAGTGCCAGAAAACTAGGGAAGAACTAAAAAATAAATAAAATAAATAAAATAAAATAGGGGCATGTCAAAGGGGTACAGCTCCCAATAGTCAAAGTTAGAATAATTACAGCAATAAAATAACAATAGTACTGCATTCTAGGGCAAAGAATAAAAGAAGTATGCAAAGTACACAATAATGTAACTGAGTAAATAACAGGGGAGAAGGGACAGCTCTTTTTCACAAAGTATTCCAATGAATACTTTGAATGAAGAAGAGTATCTAAGTATCCACTGAATGCCTAGAAGGAATGAGGGAAAGAGAAAGTCAAATCCCAACACCAAGTAGTCATTACTGCAGGCAAGATCCATCAATTAATGCTACTTAGTAGACCAAAGTTCAAAGTGAAACAGTATCTCATATGCAAAGTAGCAAACTATCTTCCCCCAAATAATTACTGATTACAAAGGGAAAGACACTAAAAATAAATAAAATTTTTAAAAATAAATAGAGGCACGGCAAAGGGACACAGCTCCCAATAGTCAAAGCTAGAATAATTTCAGCAATAAAATAACAATAGCACTGCATTCTAGCACAAAGAATAAAAAATTACCCAAAGCATACAATAATACAACTGATTGACTTGACAGAAAACATGAGATGCAACCAAATTGAGAGACTTCATAAAAATACAAATACAAAACACTTCAAAATATTTTGAAAGACTAAGTAACTGTCACAGATTGAAGCAGACCAAGTAGACATGATGATTAAATGTAATGAAGAAGTCTAGATTGGATCCTAGAATGGAAAAAGAACATTAATTAAAAAAAAAAAGATAAACTTTTAAAAGTCTGCAGTTTAATTAATAGTACTATACCAATGTAGATTTATTTATTTATTTATTTTTAGAGATGGGGTTTTTCCATGTTGGTCAGGCTGGTCTCGAACTCCCCACCTCGGGTGATCCGCCCACCTTGGCCTGCCAAAGTGCTGGGGATTACTGGTGTGAGCCACCGCACCCAGCCTGTAAACTTTTTAATTTTGATGAACGTACTATTATGCAAGATAGCAACTTTAGGCAAACTAGGTAAAAGGTGTAAGAGAACTCTAAAATGTTTGTAATCCTTTGTAAATCTACAATTATTCAAAATAAAAAGTTTGTCGGCTGAGCTGGGCTCATGTCTGTAACCCTAGCACTTGGGGAGTCCGAGGCAGGTGGATCACCTAAGCTCAGGAGTTCAAGACCAGCTTGGCCAACATAGTGAAACCTCATCTACTAAAAATACAAAAATTAGCTGCTCGTGGTGGTGCACACCTTTAATCCCAGCTACTCAGAAGGCTGAGGTGAGAGAACTGCTTGAACAGGGAGGCAGGGGTGGGTAGAGGTTGCAGTGACCCAAGATCCAAGATCATGCCACTTCACTCCAGCCTCCATCTCAAAAAAAAGGGGGGGTTTGTCTTAAATTGAGAAGTTCCAGTCATTCAGTCATTTTTATCTGATGTATTTCCATTTTAGGTATTAAATACACACACACACACACACACACACACACACATATATATATATATATTTTTTTTTTGAGACAGAGTTTCATTCTTATTGCCCAGGCTGCACTGCAATGGTGCAATCTCGACTCACTGCAAACTCCACCTCCCAGGTTCAAGAGATTTCTCTTGCCTCGGCCTCCCAAGTAGCTGGGATTACAGCTCAGATTATGGTGGCTCACACCTGCAATCCCAGCAATTTGGGAGGCTGAAACAGGTGGATAACAAGGTCAGTACATCGAGGCCATCCTGGCCAACATGGTAAAACCCCCTCTCTACTAAAATACAAACAAAGAGCTGGGGATGGTGGCACATGCCTGTAGTCCCAGCTACTCAGGAGGCTGAGGCAGAGGAATCACTTGAATCCAGAAGGCGGAGGTTGCAGTAAGCCAAGATTGTGACATGGAAATTGCCCCCATAAACTGCATACCTCGACCTTTCCATTGAAACTGCTCTCTGTAACCCTAATGTGACAGGCAAGTAGTCCAAACCAATGCCATTTTTGCCCCTGCGCCATTTTAAGAAAAATTAAGACTTGTAATATGTAACTAAGGTCTGTAATTTCCCACCCTACCCAGACAATGTGTAAACTAACACTTACCTTGAATTATGTGAACCACTTAAGTAACAATCGGAATGTCCAAAGTCCTCTGGCCCTCGGAATGTCCAAAGCCCCTCATCCTCACCCTCACCCCCGCCCAGGAGGTGGTTTATGGGCATAAAAGGTCTTGACACCCTCCTTTCGGGGCCACGGGTTGGAGAGACTCGAGTCCTCCGTGGCCGCCAGCAATAAAAACCCTGCAATTTGGCCTAGTCTTTGCCTCGGTGGTGATTTCACGCTCACTCAGTTACAACAAGATCACGGCACTGTACTCCAGACTGGTGACAGAGCGAGACTCCGTCTCAAAAAAAAAAAAAAAAAAGAGGACATTTAATACTGTCAATTTTTATATACCAATTTGGATTCCTTCTTTTGTCAGTTTGGCTTATATTGACAACCTACTAATATGTTCCATCACTGCATTGAGGCACCTATGAGGAGACAGATATGTGGATATGTGGTATGCTAAACAGTGACAGGTGCTACATAGTAAAATAAAACAAGGAAAAGGAAAAAGAAATTTAAGATTAGGAAGAAAAAAACAAACTCATAAATTCAATCTTACAGAACACCTACGATTCACCTGAGAGTCACAGGAATGTACTTTTTCACAGTTTCTAATACAAAATATCAAAAATTGCAAAATACAGTGTTAGCTTTTACTATAGTTTACTCTCTGACTTCATTACTGCTTACGCACTAATTCTTACTGGATATCCCACAGAAAACTTACCGGTGGAATACTTGCCATTTTTCATGCTTTTGTCAGTTCCTTTTTAAGTGCACATTGAGGCTTATCTTCAAAACATATCTCATCTTTTCGGCTTACAGTAAGACTTTTTTTTTAAAACCAAAATGTGTCTGCATTTTATTAAGATAACATAAAAGAGCAGCCTAATTCTTTGGTCCCTGAATATGCACACACACACATATAAAACACATGGAGTTTCTCTGAAACGCCTTAATCAAATCACTGCTCAAACCACTCCCTGGCATTTCCTTGCAAAATGGTGAGCTTTTAGTTTTGCACTGCAAGCAGTTTGAAACAGAGTAACATTCTTTCCTGGCCACCACTTTTAAATTGGGAAGGAGACAATTCTCGGATCTTTTAGGCCTGTGCCAGTCAGAGTGTGCTACGATCACGATCGCTGCAGGTTAGAGCCCTGCCTTTGTTTCATATAGTTATCTCATTGTGAAAGATGATCACCCTAACAAACAAGATTTTGCAATTTTTCTGCACAAATGTCACTTCACCATTTAGAGCTTCATGTAAATGTGTCCTACAGAAAATAAACTGCAAACACGATGTCATAATTACCCTTGCAAAAACATGTTTTAGTGGTGTCATAATGCTAGCACTACTTTTAGCCAAAATAAGAACAAATGCATTCTACAAATTCAGGAGATTACAATTTTTAAAAAGCAGCAGTATGGATGTACTTAATTTCACTGAATTATACACTTCCAAATGCTTAAATGGTAAATGTTTACATATTGCATGGTAAATGTTATGCGTATTTTTGCACTCGATTGTTTCTTCACAAGTTTTTTAAAAAGCAACAGCACACTCTCAATTCATAATAAAATATATATTTATGAATGACTGTGTGCATAACTATGCACAGACATTTTAAATGTCAGGAGGCCTGGAGACAAATTTCAGGATTGCGGCTACTTTTACTTTTCTTCTACTTTCCCGTGTTATCTAATCGTCTCTGATAAACATATTTTATTTGCCTAATTGGGTGAGAAGAGAAAGCCCGGAGAAACCCGGGCTCCAGTATTCTCTAGCCCGGACGCCCGCGAGGCAAAGAGATTCTCGTTACGCCCTCAGCGTGGCGGGGGCGGGATCCACGGCCAGACCCCAGCCACCCGCGCAGCCTCCAGGCCGGGCCCCGCCCGCCGCCCGGGCAGGCCCGAGGGTGCCGCGGCCTTCGGGGAGCCCCGCGCCCGCAATGCCGCCACCCCCACCCCAACTCCCACCCCCGCGCCCCGCCAGGCCGCTCACCGACTCCCGCTGCCCAGCGACAATCGGTCCACCCGCAGCCACCTCAGCCGCACGTCCCGCGCCTACCTCCCGGCGGCTGAAGTCGCGCACGCGCGTCGCCGCCTCGGGCCCTCCGCGGCCTCTCTAGGAAACTGGGAGGGCCAACGTCTCCGCTTCTCCCCGGCCCGGGTGCGGTGGGAGGCGAGGCTTGTTCAACATCCCTCACCTCCCTCCGCTGGACACTTCCCTTCCGCTGGGATGCCCAGCCGAGCCTGTTTTCTTACATCCCTCCTGTAGTGTCTGCGGGGCTGCCCTGAAGGCCTCTTTCCCTCCAAGAAAGAAAGGAATCCAAAGCTAGGGGTGAAAATAGGGCCAGCAATATCTAGCGGACTGGTTCTGGCCAGGAGAAGGGGTTAAGGGAGCTGCTTGTTCTTCCCGTGTCCCCTTCAAAGAGGGGAACCAGATCCTACGGGAAGTTAGGTGCCAGGACTCCTGCCTTTCCAAGACGACCTCATCCCCATCATCACCATGCCCAGGGATACTTGTTCATAGCCAGCCCAGAGGTGCACCATATTTTAGCTTCTCACGGCTTTCACTTGTTTTCTCCTGTGGGTGAATTCTAACTAGGCTCGCCTGGTGAGTGAAGAATGATGCCATTGCCAATAATATGTGGAATCTGGGAGGAGTAAGTTGGGGGTGGAGAGGCTGCTTGAAGAGGAGGTGAATCAACATGGAGAGATTGTAGGGCAAATGTCATCTATTGCCAGTGCCAGAGAACCTTGAAGATGCAGAGCCAATGCCCTAAGACCATCTGCTGCCATTGGAGCGCATGCTGCAAGCTGCTGGTAGTCCTCTGGTCTGTGCTTCCCAGGGGCAGCTGCAACATGTTGCCAATTGATCTTACAGATGGGCATTAATGATGCCCATCTGTGCCCTGAGGCTTTGCTTTACTCATCTGATCCACCCCTTTTTAATGCCCCAGTCACCAAAGATGGAAACGAAATAGAACCCAAACACAAGGGAGATGATGATGAGGTAATAAACAGATGGCACATTCAAACAAGGTAAGTGGGGAGAGTTCACAAGGGGCGATTTACACAACGTGGACAGGGTTAAGGAGATGCAACATGGGGTGGTGCATCCCATGGCTAGCAACATTTAGAAGCTATTCTCACCCCTAGGAGCAAGCCACCTGAGAGAAACTGTGGCTTTCATTTGAGGGCTACCTCCAAGCCATAGTCCAGCACAAAGGTAGCGGGGGTAAGAAATAATCTAAACCCAACTTTCTTCTGATCTCCTGCTAGAGTTTCCCATTGGCCCAACCCAACTGGAAGCCAGAGAACAATCCAGAAAACTCAGACTCCTGAGTGTCAGAGCAGGGTTGAGGACTGAGACTGAATATGGAGGGGCAACTGGAAAATACCCAACACATGCAAAAAGGAAAATAGAAACTGCTTGTCAATGCTTAATGTGTCCATTAATTTCCACTTGATACAATGTTCTTGAGTGATTCAGAACATTCAGAACCACCCATAGTGGCGAGAAGAGTTTTTGAGTTTTGTCTGAGAACAAAATTTTCCCATCATCGAAGAGTTTGAGCAGGTTCTGTGTGTTTAGGATGTACTTACTGGATGTTTCCCAATGTGATAGGTGGTTAGCACTGATAGCACATTTAGTGTGATCAACAGATCAACCAGATTGGCTTCACTAGTACTTGTAAAGTTTGGGGAGCAGCCACTGGGACTGCAGCTCTGAATTTAAGTCCTATACAGCTTCTTGAATCTCACAGTTCTGCTAATACCTGATTTCTCTGAGTGCCACGGCACTCGAGCCTATAACCATGAGGTTTCTTCACTTTTCTGGTAGGAGGCATATCCTTGCTAGCTGTACTTCATGAACACTGTACTCTTTCAAATTGGGGCCATTTACTTGGTAAAAGCCCTAGGTAAGATTCTCCAATTTTCATGTGCATATGAATACAAATCACTTGGGATCTGGCTGAACTGCAAATTCAGGAGGTCTGGGGAGGGACCAACAAATATTTTTAACAAACTTCCAGGTGTACCCATGTTGCAGTTCCTGGACCACACTTGGAGCAGCAAAGAACAGTGCATGCAAATCAGTGGTTCTTAACTTTGCTGCAGATTAGAATCCTCCTTAGAGCTTTCAAAAAGTCCATACCTCATATAAATTTAATCCAAATCTTTGTGGGTGAGACACTAACAAGCCTAGATTTTAAAATCCCCAGATGATTCCAACATTTGCGAACCTGGGAGTAGACAATTGTTCCTTTACCCTGATTCCCTGCTACATGTAAAAAGCACATACTAAAGCATTTTATGTTCATTTGCTTCTTTGTTTTGGAATTTAAAGTGCATCAGGATTCTGCCTTTCAAATAGAAGAGGGAAATTTCCCCCTTAATTTTATTTTCCTCTTATTTTGAAATAGGGAAGAAAAAATTCGTGTGCTGGGATGGGGATCAGGAATGTGACTTGAGAAAAGAGACAAGATGTTAAAACTGAGTATCAGCTGTGGGCAAACAAATTGGCCTGGTAGGATGTTCACCCCTTTTCTGGCCTCAAACTCAACTCCTTCTCTGTAGTTTGGGGGAGGGGGATTGAAATATTAGGATGAAAATAAAACAGAGCAATGTATCTGAGGATGGTGATTACTGTGATCCACTGGAACAGTGTTCTGTCCTAGAAAAAAAAACATAAAACAAATGTTTAAACAGTTAAATTATGTGTAATTGTGGCCATTCGAAATATATTACATGTTAGGTCCCCCAAATATGGCAGCACTACTGCCAAGCTATTATGAACTCTGTAACTGACACGTATGCCTTCAGATGGCTTCCTGGTGCTAGAAGGTCTGAAGCAACGGGAAAACCACAAGAAAAATAATGGGATCCTGCTTCAGCTGATTGATCAATCTTCTGAGTCAACAATGACAAACTCCAAGCTGTAACTTTCCACTTGCTACCCCAGCCTATAAAACCTGCTCTGCCCCACACCTCCACGCTGACTCCCTTTTTGGACTCAACCCACTTGCACCCGAGTAAATAAACAGCCTTGTTGCTCACACAAAGCCTGTTTAGGTTGTCTTTTCAATTGGATGCATGCTTAACATTTTGGTGCCGAAACCCAGGATGGGAAACTCCTCAGGGAGATCTGTCCCCTACCCCCGCTCTCCCTCCTTGAAGAGCCTTCCCATGACTTCGGTACCTCAGACTGGCCTGTAGAACCCCTTTCTTTGTCTTCGGATTGGGTAAGCTGAAATACCCTAGCTTGGCTGTGATGAATACATTTTGAACAATCCTGCCAACTCCATTTTGCCCACCCTGAGCTATGTAGGGCATTCTGTTAGGAGAGCTTGTGGTTCCAGCCACCTGGCATCTTTGTAACCAATTTTCTGAGAAACGGCCCACTGGCCCATATATCTTGTACCTGCAACTGTGTAACTGCCTACCCCACATCCTGAGTCAAAAACAACTTTAAATAGAATTTTGTTGTTAGGTACTTCCCCCTTCCCCAATCTGCTCCTTCTGTTTCTGTAATAATCTGCTTACCGCCCCCAGCTTTAAATAGAATTTTGTTGTTAGGCACCCACCCCTTCTCCCCTAACCTGCTCCTTCTGCTTCTGTAATAATCTGCTTACCACCCCCTGACCCTAAACTGATATAATAATGTTGACTGCCCTTTGTTCTGGGCCGAGAGGTTTGAGCTCTAGCTGACTCTTGGATGCCAGCCATTAAAAATGGACTCAACAAACTCAGAGCACAGTGCTTCTGTTTAAAGTCGCTCTGGTATAACAAAGTCATCTCCATTTGTCTTCAAACCTTTCCTTTCTGAAATACAGACAGATGTTCTGAAATACACTTTCTGAAATAGAGACAAATATTCTGAAATAGGGTCCTTCCTATTTGTGTATCAAAAACCCAACATTAGTCATGGACTTTTCTCGGGAAGACAGTCTTCCCTTGGTGTCTGGTCAACAGCAGGGATGCCTGCCTTGATCATTTGCCAGCTGTACAGCCCAGGACCCCAGCTGAGGATGCCCACTGAGGATCCTAGTGGTTGCTTTCCTCCTTGGCTCTATCTTCTCCTCAAACTCCTCTCCTTTATCATGGGCAACCTTCCGCCCTCCATCCCTCCCTCTTCTCTCCTGGCCTGTGTCCTCAAAAACCTGAAACCCCTTCAACTTCCATATGATCTGAAGTCTAAATGTCTCATTTTTTTCCTGTAATACAACCTGGCCCCAATATAAATTAGACAATGGTTCCCAGTGGCCAGATAATGGCACTTTCAATTTTTCTATTTTGTGGGACTTAGACAATTTTTGTCGTAAAATGGGCAAAAGGTCTGAGGTGCCATACGTCCAGGCATTTTTACACTTCAGTCCCTGCTCCCTGCCTGAACTGTTCCCAGTGCGACTCATTCCAAATTCTCCTCCTCTCCCTTCCTTCCACTCCTTCACCCCCCGCCGCTGACACTGAATCCTCCTTGTTCATCAATCCTTCTGATCTTTCTCCTCCCTGCCTGTCCGAACCAGGTCCTAATCCTCCCCCAGAGCCTAACTCTTCTGTCCACAACCCACCTCCTTATGCCCCTCCTATCACCACCTCACCTCATATCCGATCTGGCTTACAATTCAGTCCTGTGGCTAATTCCCCCACCCATGTCCAACAATTTCCCCTTTAAGAAGTGGCTGGAGCCAAAGGAACAGTCTGGGTGCACATCCCTTTCTCTCTGTCTGACCTTGCCCAAATCTTCAGCGCTTAGGCTCTTTCCCGTTAGACCCCACCAAATATATACAAGAGTTTCAATACTTAACCCAGTCTTATAATCTCACCTGGAGTGACTTAAATGTCATCCTCACTTCTACTCTCAATCCTTGAAAAATGGGAGCAGGTTTGGACCCTGGCTCAGTCTTATGCTGAAGATTGCCAACGTCTTGAACCTGACCCTCAGGAAGGTGCCAGAGCAGTCCCCTGTGAAGACCCTCAATAGGACTACGAGGCAGGGTCCCCTGGTATAGTCAGGCGAGACTACATGATTTCTTGTCTTGTTGAGCTTCGGCAGGCTGCATATAAAGCCATCAACTATGACAAACTAAAAGAGACCACTCAAGGATGAGAATCCAGCTCAGTTTATGGCCCATCTAACTTCCACTCTCAGGTGATATACAGCATTAAACCCTGAAGGCCCAGAAGGATGCCTTATTTTTAACATGTATTTTATCACTCAGTCAGCACCTGACATTAGAAAAAAGCTCCAAAAGTTAGAATCTGGCCCTCAAACCCCACAGCAGCACCTAATTAACCTTGCCTTCAAGGTGCTCATTAATAGGGAAGAGGCTGCCGAGTGGCAGCACATCTGAGAACTACAGATGCTTGCCTCTGCCGTAAGACAAACCCCTGCTGCTCCACCAGCCCAAAAGGACTTCAGAATGTCCAGACCACAGTGTCCTGCCTCCCCTCCAGGACCTTATTTCAAGTGTCAGAAAAATGGCCACTAGGCCAAGGAATGCCCGTAGCCCAAGATTAGTCCTAAGTTGTGCCCCATCTGTGCAGGCCCCCACTGGAAGTTGGACTGTCTGACTCACATCACCATTCCTAGAGCTCCTGGAGCTCAAACCCAAGGCTCCCTGGCTGACTCCTTCCCAGATTTCCTTGGTCTGGTGGCTGAAGACTGATGCTGTCCAAACATCTCAGAGGCCCTTTAGATCATCACGGACACCAAGCTTCAGGTAACTCTTATGGTAGAAGGTAAGTCCATCCCCTTCTTAATACGGAGGCCACCCGGTCCACGCTGCCTTCTTTTCAAGGACCTGCCTCCTTGGCCTCCATAATAGTTGTAGGAATTAATGGCAAGGCTTCCAGGCCTCTCAAAACTTCCCAAGTCTGGTGTCAATTAGGCCAGCACTCCTTTCCACATCCTTTCCTAATCATCCTCACCTGTCCAGTTCTCCTGTTGGGCCATGAGTATCTTAATAGTATCTTAACTATTCCTGGACTACAGCCACACTTCATTGCTGCCCTCCTTCCTGAACCCATACCTCCCTCAACAGCTCCCCTTACATCTTCCCACCTTAACCTTAAGGTATGAAATACCACCTCCCCATCCCTTGCTACAGGCCACTTGCCCCTCATGATCCCTTTAAAACCTAACCACCCTTATCCTGCCGAGCATCAATATCCCATCCTTGCACAAGCCTTAAAAGGCCTAAAACCTGTTAATACTCACTTGCTGCCACATGGCCTTTGCAATTCTCCCACCTCAGCTTCCTGAGTAGCTGGGACTACCAGCATGCAGCACTGCGCCCAGCTGGGGATTACGTTTTAACAAGTGTTTTGGAGGCAACAAAACCACTCAATCCATAGCAAGATGGATGGCCACAGCAGACCATTAGTGTTTATCAGCTTTGAGTTTCACAAATCCCTCAGTAAGCCAACTCATACCATCAGCCAAAACATCTTTGAACCATGGGGTGCACGTAGCTAAGGGAACATACCCTATGAGCTGTTCAGCCTCCTCTGGCAAGACAGTTACTTCATGGAGTTGGCAGACCCCCCTGGGATCCCAATCAGGCTCCATCTTATATGTAACATTTTCATTTAAGGATGGTACTTGGCTGAACTTGTGTTTTATTAGTAGGATTAGTGAGCACTGTGAGAAAAAATAAAATCAGATAAAATTAAGAAAAAATTAAAAGTTTATTGTTCAAACAAGAAGTACAGACCACAATCTAGAAGATTCAAATCAAGTGGTAAGAAACTCATCTTACAGCAGTTACAACACAGTTTATAATACATACAGAGGGGACTATGTTGACCTTTTTATAATTGGCTGTTATACATTGTTTTTAGGGAAAGTTGAGCTGTTTAAGCTGATTGGTGTAATTTCAGTGCATCATGCTGGCAAGGATGTAAAGCTAACATGTCGCATTTCATTTATGATTAGAGAACAGCATTTCAGAGAAATCAGAATGATTTGTTTTGGTTACACAGTTGCAGGTGGTCAGCCTTGGGGTATTTCTAAACTGCAGCTTCCATTTTTATTTTTCTTTAGCAATACCTGCATGAGATGGGCAGCTCAGGTCTTAAGGTCACATACAGCGCTTTAGTGGTCAAGTGTTCTGTTTCCATTAGAACCCAATAGCAGGCTAGTAGCTGCCATTCAAAGGGAATGTATATGGCAAAAATCTTGGGTAATTTATATGACCAAAGCCCAAGGGCCTGGTGCACCTTGATAGCAGCCTCTTGTTGCCACAGTCTCCAATCTGTATGCATAGGAGTCAGTGAGACCCGTAGTTTCATGGGCCTACATTAATGGCAAGCCCATGTTAATGCATGATAGGCCCCTAGAGTCTGCTGTCGTTGAGGGCACCATTCAGAGGTGGCTGTGCTGTGGGTAATTTTAACTAAAGGAGGCCAACTAATACTCAAATGTGATACATATTGTCTCCAATAGCCAAACAGACCTACCAGCTATTGAGCTTCTTTCTTGTAGGTGGGGGCTGCCAACGACAATTTTTTACTTTATCAGGAATACTCCCCTAGTTACTGGACCAGGTAGCTCC